GAAAGAAGAAGGGTATAGATGCAGAGCAGTGGGGATCAGGTCAGAGAAGTGCATAAGATGTCTAGGAGTTGAGCAGCGTTTTCTTAGGTCTGACATGGCGATGAAAAAAGTGAACACATGTGAATGATTGTGAGATGCAGATGTACATGCCATAGTTTGCAACGGCAACATATTCGTGGGACCGGGAGAAATATCATATTTTTAGGAAATGCTTCTTTGGACCTATTTACTCATATATTGTCCGTAAATAATGATCAATTCTTTAAGAAATAGAATTTTTTAACAGTAGATATGCTCTGAGAGCAAACGCTATTATTTCTAGAATTTGGCGGGTAATCCAAGCGCAGTTAATGGTCGACCAGATGTCAGGTTCAACACAATACGCAAACAGTTTTAACATAGCAAGTAGCTCTATATGACTACATAGCCGGCTCGACAAGGTACTTCTCGCGCCGCTAATGCCATAATTGTCAGGACTAATTCCTTGCCATTCATAGCCCAACACAATGGTCAGACGCCGAAAGCTTATCGGCTTGAAAAAAAAAATGTGCCCACTCATGTCGTGCATACACACATACACATACCAGTAGACATACGTTGTGGTTGAGGAATTCATCACAAAGCTGTCGTACGTAATACGTGCTGCTTCAAATGCATCCGTCTTCAAAAATACGAGCCATTACAGATGACCGCAAATCCTTGAACCAAACCTCTGGGGAGGCCGAGGAGACGGAGGAGAATAAAGTGAAATGCTCAACAATGCGATACGGATGCAAGAAGCTTGTTTGGGCTCTTCATATTTTTCCAGATGTGAAAGTGAACTGTTGCAAAAACCGGTTAAGAGGATTGTATCTTTCTGTCCCTAGTTAAATCCGCAGTGCGAACACAAAGAAAAAGTATCTGAAACTGGAAGCAGCGCTATTATTAGTTCACCTATATGCATTAAGGAACAGAACATCATCTATCAGATGAGAGGACATCGACAGCGTAAATATTAAAAAAAACATATGGAGTGAAAACCCATTATTCTCGTTCTTCGGTCGCTCTTTAGATGAA